CCCCAAAACCCCAAAACCCCAAAACCCCAAAACCCCAAAACCCCAAAACCCCTCAAAAATAATTTTGATAGAAATTATCACAAATATGGAATCTAGCCCGAAGAGAAGAGTTGGAAGGAAAGTCAGCGAGAAGCACTCCTTCAGATTTATTGATAAGATCAATAAGGTTCAAGAGATTGATGTATATGATAACGAGAAAAGACTCATTCTAGTTGGAAATGATAGCAATAGGCGTCTAAAGCATATTATTAACTTTGATAAATGCAGTATTGAACTTCGGGTAAGAAATTCTTCCCTTTTTATCGAACTTTATAAAATGTTCCTGATCATGTGATTTAATAGGACGATCCAGTCAATCAAGTCATTAATGAAGAAGATGTGGAGATATATCTCAAAGAAAGTCTTAATTGCAAGAAGACCAAAAAGTATTTAAAGTACAAAGCATATGGTGTATTTGGGATCTACCAATTTTACAAGCTCACCTACATATGTCTGATCAGGGACATCAAGAAGGTGGCTACCTTCCTTGATTCTCCTATCAATGAAATAAAGGAGGTTGATCTGTTTGCAATTCAGTCCAAAAAATTCTACAAGAAGATTTTGGGCAAAAAGGATGTCAATATAGAAAGGACATATAAAAAGTCATTCAGAAGTTACAAAATTTACAAATATTTTTATTTCTCTTACGATTATGACTTAACCACGAATATTCAGAGGCAAAGGAAAGACATTGCTCTGAAGGGGTCCAAGCAAGACCTGTTCACTAAGAAGTTCACATGGAATGGAGATCTAGCACTATTTAATAAAGTCTTCAAATATCATGAGTGGATAGTACCTATTATTCATGGATATGTGGGAACTTTTACCATAGATGAAATTGAAGGTATGATTTGAACAGGGATTAATAACGAATGTTCATATAGGCGAATACACACTGATCAGCCGTCGATCAAGGTTCTCAACAGGAGCTAGATACTTAAAAAGAGGAATAAACAAGTTTGGACATCCTGCAAATGAAGTAGAGAGTGAGCACATTCTATGAAACAAGAATCCATTAAGCTCGAGTTATATTAAGATTAGCAGCTTTATACAAATGAGAGGATCTATTCCTCTGATATGGAAAAATACAAAGATTACTTCCTTGAAACCTAAGTTCGAGTATGATGAAGAGAAAAACAAGGATTATATTAGTAGCTTTCTCCACTTGGACGAAGTCCAGAGAAGATATGATGCTGAGTCTATTTGATTCTTCAATCTGATCAGACAACAAGAGGGCAAAAATAATGAAAGGTATGACCAAAAATACATCTTATTAATTAATTTTAGTCTGATTGGAAAAGGCTTCAGAGAATTCTTTACCGCAGCTTCAACCTCCAAAGACAAGGTTATCAAAGATGAAGAGGAGGAGGGCATAGAGATCATTGAAATGGAAGAGGCTAAAACACTTGAACACTCAGAAGAAGACTCTGGGAAATTAGCAAGTACGAATATAACCTTCTTTTTAACCAACAATTTTAGACTCAAAAACAACAGACTCTAGTGAAGAAGAGAAAGAAAGCAAGGAAGACTCAGGCAAAATACAAGATGATTATGACCTCTGTTTCTTTGGGAAAGGAGATGGCTTAGACTTATCACCCAGAAAAGCAAGGACAATGACCTTTGATGATATAATGATGCAGGCTATGAAAGAATCTAAATGTATTTTTAAATCAATTTAACTTTAGCTCTCTCTATAAAGACAAAATCTGAGGAAGAACTTCCGTATAACACGGTTTATTTGGAGAAAGGAGGGAAAACAACCAACCTTAGAATTCCTGACCTAAAGTTCATTGAATTTGACTTCTTGGCGTACAAGAAATTAGAGGGCCGAAACTTCCTTCACGATATCTTGAAGATGTATTCGAATGGTTTTTGAGATAATTCAGAGTCTTATTCATTCGATGAAACTAATACTAGCAGGCCTGTAGAAAATTTACAAAAAGGGATCGTTAGAGTTAACTGAATTGATTGCTTGGACAGAACGAACTATGCAATGACCTTCATTGCAGCCTGAGCTCTTTACAGACAAATTGGCGAGCTGTATAACTCAAAAGATGCAAGCAAAGGAATAACTGAGAAAGAATTCAAATTTTTCCAGGATGAGATAATGATTAAGCCAAAACCAGAAGATGGAGAAATGGATGTCTATCCTTGAGTCAGAGGAAACATTATGGTCAAGCTTAGCAAGATTTATAGTGAGAATGGTGATGCTATTAGTAAGCAATACTGAGGCTCGAAAGCTATGCATGGAACTTCAATGAAAATGGATAAAAAGGGTGAAGTAGTAGTTGATTCGAGAAATGATAATGGAGTCATATTCACAAAGCGTTTCTTTAATAACTATCTTGGTAAGGACATGAAGAAGCAGAGTGTCCTTTGTTTAATCACAGGGCACTTTAAGTTTAAAGAAATAGGTGTGCACCCATGGAAAATCGACTTCCATGCCTTAGACGTTAACTTCGATTCCACTATGCATCACAAGAATGAATTCGAGTATGGATCCATATTTAGTCAAGACAAGCATAAAACACGAGAAGTTGAGCTCGAAGAAATGTTTTCTAATCTATAAACACAACTTGTTTCTATCAAGAGTTAACTTTTAGGGGTTTTGGGGTTTTGGGGTTTTGGGGTTTTGGGGTTTTGGGG